GGTGAGGGCGCGGGTGCCCCGCCAGCCCCGGGGCTGCAGCTCCCCGGTCCATCCCGGCAGGTTTCTCCTCTCAGCTCTGAGGAGCGCTGAGTAAACCGGTTCTTATTCGGCTTTTGTATCGATATGACGGTAACTGTCAGGCTGGGTTGGTGTCAGCGCAGTAGCAGCACGTTGGGAATATAGATGTTTATCTACATGTGTACACACGCATCGATATTCTCTTGTCAGAGCCGAGAGAGCAGGAGTGGGAACGGCACTTGCCAGAGAATTAGGGCCCCATTTTCGGTGGCTTTCATGAACTGGAAGTTTTGTTGAAAACCGTGTTTTCCTCTTGTCTGTATGTGTTAGACATCGTGCTCTGCTCTCCAGTTCAAAGAAGGCCAGAGCTGTTATACTGGGCTTTTTGGGGGCAAAAATTGAGTAAAACAGGGTAGTGTTTTACTTAAACAGTAATAAAGTAATATTCCCTTAATATTACTTTATGGGTTGTTTTTGGTTTTACCTCCTGCTGCTGCACATAGGCCTTTCTGTTGTCTTTGAAAATAATATAATAGGTCTTTCTGTTGTCTTTGACAATAATATAATAATAATAATAATAATGATAATAATAATAACAACAATAAAAATATGTATGCACACAAACCCAGAATTTCAGGGCAGTAATGTTGGACTTGAGTTTACACCATTGCACTTATCACCAAAGAGTATTTCTGATAATTTTTGCCAAGACCATCTGTACCATGAATTTGGGCTGTGTCTGGATATAGGTGAATGAGAGATGAATGCTGATGAACAAATAGCTTGGGGTGAAACTTGTATTTTTAAACCCTAGTTTATAACTGAATGGTGTGGCTTTTCTTTGTCTTCAAAGATATCCTCTGCTGCCTGTGGTTATGGATTCACGCTGCTGTCCTCTCGCACCACGGACATCACCAAAGTCTGGGGCATGGGGCTGAACAAGGATTCCCAGCTTGGATTCCAGAGAAGCAGAAGAGATCAAAGTAAGGATTGAGGTATTTTAAAGACTTACAGGGCAGCACTACAGGATACATGTGATTTGGGAAACTTTGCCTTAGAAGGTGTGAAAAATGTCCAGGAGGCTTTGATGCAGAGCGTGGGGCTGTGCTGTTTTGTTTTGTTTTGTTTTAAAAGAGGTCTTTTTTTAGAACTTAGCTTTGTTTTTGTGTGCTCTGTGAGTGGCCAAGGTCTGTGGCCTGCATCCATTCTACGTACTGCACTTCCATTCTTACCTGGATGTAACTAAAATCCAAGTAACTATTTATTCTGCAGAAGCTCGTGTGCATGTTTTGGTTAAGGTTGCTGTGAATCTCTGTAGTTTGTTAGTAGACAATGAAATGATCTAGTTAATAAAACGATTTTGGCAAGTTGGTTTGCTCACTTCTGTTGCCTTTGCATCTATAAACTAATTTCCTTTCCTACAAAGATCTTTTTATACAGTCAGTGGAATTTTGTGTGCAGCTGTAGGGGTTTTTTATTTTAATAACAAATTGCATTTTGAAGGAAAAAACATGTTATTGAGTCACTTGGTGTTATATCAGGCCCTGAAACGTGTTTAAGGTGATGTTTTGTGTGCAGAACGTTGCCACCTTCCACCTAAGGCTGATACAAAAGCCACAAGCTTACTTCCCTTTTAGAATGTCTGTCTTTAATTGTTTGAAAACATTCTTCTACGTTCAAAGCAGTTTTTTCTCTTTATGGTGTATAATAGCATACTTTTAAAGTACGGTGTGTCTGATATGGGTGAAAGATTAAAGATTAAACTTTGTGGAGGACCAAAAGAAAACTGCAGCTGCTGTGCAGAGTGCTGCAGTGTGCAGTGGTGCTGCTGTTGTGCTGCTGGTGTACGGGAGAGCTTTCCAAGCGCGTGTGCAGGCAGCACGTGTGTGTGTGTGCTGAAACAGCAGCTGCACAGTGAAGGAGCCACAGAAGAAGCCTCCATTCACTTCTGCTTTTAAAGGTGTCAGCTCTTACTTTGCCTTAGTTCTGTAAGTGCTGCTATCTCAGGAGTGTCTGGTTGTTTTCTTATTTTTCATCTAACCTGCAGGTTGTTTGTGCCAGAGAAGCCAGAAATAAGTTAAATAATTATGCAGTTCAAGCCTTTTTAAGTAAGGGAGCGTTCGGTGTTGGGCAGGATCTGCTGAAAGCGTGGTGCAGATCCATGGGATGGCTACTGCTCCGTATTTAACATCCCACAGACAAGCTTCTTGGTGGATGTGCTGCTTGTTACTCTGCAAACTTACTGTGGTACCTGCCATTCTAATACTGTGTCCCTGTAGATGGTTGGTTTCCAGAGGAACTTGCAACCTTCTGACTTGTAGATGGTTGTACTTCATACTCTAATTTCATCAGTTTCTAAGCTACTGATAATTTACTCCCACCCTACCCTGCATTAGCCACCTCGTTGTCTCTTTTCTCTAAAATCCTTCAGGTATTATCAGTGAGGATATTGAGTTCATTACCACAGATCCCAGTAGCTCTGTGGCTCTGCTGGAAGGAACAGAGAGAGGAAAAGGGGTTTTTTTTGCTTTGACACTTCCACATCTCTTGAGACAGGTACCAGCTTTGCTGTGTTTCAGTTCCTGCTGTACTGCATGGTAGGCTCCCACCATTTACAAGCAGCCTGTCCTCACATCAAGTAGTTTCTTACTGTAAAAGGGTATTTGTAGATTTTCTGGGTTTTGTGGGGGGGGTTTTTTGGTTTGGTTTTGGTTTTTTATTGAAGGCAGTGAGAACTAGTTAAAGCTCTGCTCTGTGTGAGCAGAATACTGCTTTGGATCCTCTGGGATTTGATTGCACTTGTTACAGTGGCTTTCTTTGATACCAGAGCTTTTTATCTCCCCCTAACCTTTTCCCTAGTACTGATTTATGTTTTGCTGTTCTTTTTTTTTTTGTCCCAGTTGACCATAACTGATTACATATTCTTCAAGTTACTCTAGCTTCTTTTTCTAGTACAGCCTGTCATTTTCTTTCATAAATGTTAGATCTCTCATCCCCTGTGGAGCCAGGCTGGCTAATGTTTCTTGCATTCCTTTTTTTCTGAAAGGGCCTTTAATCTACTGTTCTTTAAATATGAAGCCCTAAGTTTTTTTTTTTTGTTCACCTTTTGTGTTATCTTTTTGTGATTGCTGCTGTTGTACCTTGTTTGCAATATCCCCAGTTGCACAGTTTGTGCTTGGTGTTAAGCTCTCTAGTAATTCAGCTGTATTCACCACAGTGGCTGAACACGTGGCTGAAACCCTCTGTTTTTCAGTTCTGGCCACCTGAAGCTGTAATAACATTCAGCTTCTAGGTGTGCTGGATTTTTGAAGAGGCAGTGATTATTGGCTTCAACCTTTCCTGTGGCTTTTAACTTCTTCCTCCCTGTGATAAATTCCAATCACCCTTTTACTTTGGTTGGTATCTTGGCTTTCTAAAACACACCTGCTTTTGTAAGAAAGTGGTGAGCATACGTTCATACAACAGGATCAGCAAATATATGATGAATTTTCTTTGTGGAAGCTACTGGCTTTTTAAAATTTCTCTCTCTTCCTTAAGCCAAGGGCTATGAATACGTCTTGGAACCATCTCCAATTCCGTTACCACTGGAGAAGCCGCAGCAGACTCGAGTCTTGCAGGTGTCCTGTGGGAGAGCCCATTCCCTGATCCTGACAGACGGTGAAGGAGGTACAGTATCGCTTCTGCGGGTGGCAAGGGAAGCCTGACCACACTTGATTGAAAGCTCTGGAAAAGATTGTGTGCTGTCCTTCAGAGCTAGACCCCAGATGGCTGGCTGCACTGTAGATGTGATGCAGGTAGCTGTTGGCCTTTTTGGGATTGCTCCGTGGAGGGAGAGCCCTGAGCTGATAAGTGTGTTGAACTCTGCTTGGCTCATGCTGTAAATGTGTTGGAAGCTTTTTCACTACAAGAGTTGCAAAATATGCTTTGTTTATCTAGCCCCAGGCCTCGTTCAAGTGTAGCCTGTTTGTCTTGTTCAGTCAGACATGTTTTTGAATTCAGTTTTGGATACCTGTGCCAATACTCCTGTGTTACTTTCCCCTTGAAGCCCCAGAGTGCTACATTTATAAAAGCAATTAATTAATGGGCCTTTATACAGACGATCCTGTGCGTGAATTGACTCTCCACATCTCTGGGAATTCTCTGGTGCAGTGGCTTCACTGCTGTGCTGAGCGATCCAGTGCTGCTTATCTGTGGGTGAGCTGGCTGGTTGATTTAACACTCCTGTGGGAGCGCTGATCTATTTCCACATCTCCTTGGCAACGGCAGGATGAACTAGGCAATTAATGAAAACCAGCCAGTGGGCTCCAGGTACCGCTGCTGTGCCTGCCACAACATCGCCGGGATATTGCTGACTGAAATGGATTCAGTCACTTCAATTTAAGTGGACTTGCTTTGAAGAAAGCTTATGCCAATTTTTCCAGTAGTGTGTTCCACCTTTCATACTGAGGGACTGCATGAAAATTATTTTGTGTACTTGAAAAGAGGCTTTCAGGGGATTGGACAGGAATAAAACTAGTGCATTTTATCATTGTTTTTCAGTTTTCACCATGGGGAACAATTCTTACGGACAGTGTGGCCGGAAGGTTGTTGAAGATGAAACTTACAGGTGAGAATCCAAAGATCCTGAACTTTCTTAATGTTAAAAACATAACTGCATGAAAACAACCCTACAGAAAAACCTGGAGGTGGGAAAAACTTGGTTGTGTAAGGATACTGTGGAGGATTAAGGAGACTGAGAACAGGCTTTTATGCTGCAGGTGTCATATAAACGGCCTGGCTTTAAACCCAGGCTGGGCACGAGCATTCTTCTGACCACATTCACAACAGACAGAAAGATGTCAGCAGGTGACAGTTTTCACAGGGCATAGTGAGAAAACCCAACCTTCATAAATAGACTGAGATAATTGGTGTTAGCAGTCGCTCTGTCTCCCTTCAACCTCTCACAGCGCAAGTGCCATTTCTGAAGGTGTTAGAAATACCATTTAATGATGAAAAAGGCATCCTTTTGTTATATCTCTTTGCTGTAACTGCCTTTGAATCTGTCGTGCTTTTCCATTACAGGGTTTTGGTGGGCCACACTAAAGCACATTCTCATCATGCTCTGTATGATGTAAGTGGATAGTAGGAATATGTTGAAAGTTACAGATTCCTTGGCAGGGCCTAGAAGAGATTTTGCTGATTGCTCTCTCTGTCATCCACAAGACTTGACCTGTAGATTTTTAGTAAACTGCTGTAATTTAGCCCGCTTTTTTTTGCCTTTATGCTGGAAGTTAGGCATTGGGTTGTTCAGAACTCCTGTTTTTGTGAAAGAATGAAATGGATGTTAACACTGCGATATTTGTGCTCTGGGGTTTTAAATCTGGTTTAATCTCTACTTAAGTGCAGTGTTTATATAGGTGCTGCAGTTATTACCCAGTGTCTGTGCTCATTCCAGACTAGGGAATGTGTTTGAGGACTGCTCCCATCCCCAGTTCCCATGGGAGACTATCTTTAAAAAGTGACAGTTCTTAACTTCTTAAATAAGAGAATGCAAAATTACTTCTTTGCAGTGATTTTACAGTGGATCTGTGCTCTTTGACTAAACAGGAGGATCTTTCTCCTTGTAATAGCAAAGTGACTTTCAGGAAAGGCAGATCTACCTTCACGTTTTTCACTTGCAGTCCTCTGAAATCCTCTGTGTTGCCTTTTCTCTTCTCGGTGGTTGTTTGATGGTGTCCAGTGAAAGCCATCTGATTCATCAGCTGAAGGAGTTTGACAGCAGAGTTGTCCAGGTAAGAGGACCTTAGGAATCGAATTCTGAAGATGAATTGAAAACTGGCTGAATACCTGAGCCCAGAGGATGGTAATCAGTGGCATGAAGACGAGTTGAATGCCAGTAACTAGTGTATCCCAGGGGTCAATACTGGGTCTGATCCTGTTTGACACCTTCACTGATGATCTGGTTGATGGGGCAGAGTGTACCCTGAGCAAGTTTGCAGATGACATGAAACTGGGAGGAGTGGCTGATACCCCAGAGAGTGGTGCTACCTTGACAGGCTGGAGAAATGGGCTGGCATGGACCTCACGAAGTTCAGCAAGGGGAAAGGCAAAGTGCTGGGGGCCAACCACCTGGGAAGCAGCTCTGCAGAAAAGGCCCTGGGGGTCCTGGTGTTGTTGACTGTGAGCCAGCAGTGTCCTTGCTGCAGAGAAGACAAATGGTATCTGGGGCTGCATTAGGAGGAGTGTTGCCAGCAGGTCAAGGAATGTGGTCCTTCCCTTCTGCTCAGCCCTGGTGAGGCCACACTCAGAGTATTATGCTCAATACAAGATAGACATTGTCCAATGAAGGGCCATTAAGGTGATGGAAGGGACTGGAGACAGGCTCTTTTCAGTGGTGCCCCGTGACAGGACTTGGCTTGGACCAGATGACCTTCAGAGGTCCCTTCCAATCTCAGTCCAGTCTGTGATTCTGTAATGAAAAAAAAAACTATTAGAAAATCAGTGTGCTAATCATTCAGTTGAAGCTCTTTGAAAGGACAAGGTGATCTACTATATGGTTGCTTATCAAAAGCACAAGGTGGCATTTTGCTCCCTGCCTCTGTGGAGCAGTTGCAACTGGCCCTGCAGAGTCTGAACTACTGAAGAATTGGGTGGGAATGCCAAGGCAGTGTTCGCTTGCTGGACTTCGAGACAGCACCTGCATGGCAGGGAGGTTCTGACACCTCATCTCTTCCTTTAACACCTTTATATCACTTGAACTGTTTTTATTTTGAATTTTGTCTTTTCCATTTCAACAGTGAGCTGTGAGACCATCCACTCAGAGCAGCCAGCATTTCCCTAGGGCAGGCAGAGGGACTGCAGAGCAGTAAATGCCACTGAGTCCCCACATGGCTGCGGTATTTCCAGGACACTTGGCTACTGTGTCTGTGTCTCTGTAGCAGTATTCTGTGGGCACACATTGCTCCTGTTCCATGCAGCATCCTAGAAAGCAAAGGTCATTCGTTTAGCTCCACGTGATGACAGTGTGCTGTGGTACATTCTAATGAAGTTTTGAATTACGCTTGTAAACTTCTGTTTGGATTTTTTTAAATGATTTTATTTCTTTCAAGGAGGTTGAATAATTGGTACCTGTTTGTACTTTGATGACAGCAGTTATCTGCTTAATGTTCTTGGGAGTCAGTCTCTTAATTTGTGGATCCCTTTAATCTTTGATGAATTTTTATTGTCTGCTTTTGAAGATCTTGGCTTTATTTCATACCAGGCCTACGTCAGACCTGATTTCTAGTTCAACGTAAATGTCAGTTTGAGAACAGATGTGTTCCTAGAGCGCTTACATGGCAAGGAATCAATAGCAGTTTGTAGCTGGCATCGAGAGCCGTGTAGCAGCACTCTGGGAAGGGAGATCTCTTATTTACTCTCTGCTGTTTTATTGTGTTGTACTGCTGAATTGAGCTTTCTGTTAACTAGGCCTTGTTTTGGATCTCAGAACAAATCAGCTGCAGCATCACTTGCTGCAAAGAAAATTCTGCTGGTTTTGGTGCTGTATTGTGCTGTTCTTTGCCTTCCCTGTCTGTAGAGCCATTTGATCTGGAGAGAAAGGTCAAAATCTGAGCAGATGGGCATTGTAGAGCTTCATGGCTACATTTGTCTGGCAGTAATGCTTTTGTTAGATCGATTCTGAACACGTGGCCTTTCCTGACCAGCTCTGACTTTTTGTTTGTGTGCAGGTTGTGTGTGGACAGGACCACAGTCTGTTTAGAACCAAGAAAGGTGGGGTCTATGCATGTGGATGGGGAGCTGATGGACAAACAGGTAGGAACTCAGCTCAGCTTGCATTTCGGTGAATGGGTGAATATAGCAAGCTGCCCTAATTCAGAGCTTGGGATGTATGTTAGTTGTGCTTGTGAGAACAGCAAGGGACTGGTACGTTTCCAGCTGCGTGCAGATGTTCTCAGTGCTCTTGTGTAACCAAACCAAGACAAAACCAGTGCATTTTCAGAGGAGCTTTAGGATGCCATACAAGCATGCAGTCTGAGGAGAATGTGTCAAATGTTTGAAGCTTGTGAAGGGATGTGGAAGTGTCATGGGAAGGTTAGCTCCCCAGTTCTGTGCAGGCTTTGCCTTCCTGATCCTTGTTTTAGGGTCTGTTTTGCTTCTTGCTCCTTTTAAACTGACAGGGACCTACCATTTAGCATGGGATCTTTGGCCAGGCCCTTTTTGTGGTGGCTTCTGCTGTCAGAGGATTTCCAGTCCTTACCGCTCTTTAGTTCTGCTGCTCCTGAAGCTGGCTTCTGCCCGTGGTTCTCTTGTTTGTCATCTACATTCTGGCCTCTTCTCCAGGCAGCTGTTTGTCATACAATGTGTTTGCTTCTCAGCCTCTTTTGCCGCTTGACTTGCTGTTGTCTAAACAGATTGCAGGGTGTTGTCACTCATGGCTCTCTTGCAGAAGACAGGGCGCAGCTGGTTTGTGAAACTTCACTTCTGTCAGGATATCTGCCTAGCTTGGTTATTGCTTGAGGGCCTCAACTGTTTTCCAGGTGTGATTGTATAAAGTTGTTTTGTACTCTAGAGAGGTAGCTTTGGCTGGTAGAACTGGTGTTTGTGGCTGCTTGTCCTTTGAACGTGGTAGTTAAGAGATATGGGCAGAAAGATTTATTTTGAAAGAAAGATGATTGGGTTATAACATGACAAAATGGTCCTATGTAGGCCTTAAAAGTATGTCTGGAAAAAAAAATTCCTGATCATATTTCTACTTTTTCCTTTCAGGTCTTGGACACTACAACATCACCAGTGTTCCTACTAAGCTACGTGGTGACATTGCTGGAGTAAACATTATCCAGGTCTCTTCCTATGGGGACTGTTGTCTGGCTGTTTCAGACGAAGGAGACATCTTTGGTTGGGGAAATTCAGAATACTTGCAGCTGGCCTCTGTCACAGAAACCACACAGGTCAGTTGGCCTGGGGGTGTGTTTTTCACATTTCAGTTCAGCTGCTGCCTGTGGAGTTAAAAATTACACACTTCTCCCTGCTCAGAGTTCTTTTGACAGCAGCTTAAATCACTATAAACTTAACACCAGTAGCAGGCTGCTTTTAGCTGAGCTCACAAACCAGTCTGTACAGCTTTAGGGCAGTATGTTTCCCAGCTATTGATAGGCAAAGGCTTGTGTCATCTCACCCCAGTTTGTTAGTCTGTTATAAAGGAGTCCACTCTGTGCTCTGCTTTCCCCATCCCATGGACTTCGCACCAAACTGAGATCCAGCTCGAGTGCTTGTGCTGCTTTTGGGACAGGAATTAGTTTTTTGCTTGGCAAATGTAGAATTTTGAGTGGTCCTGCTTTGAGCGTGGTGTTGGGCCAGGTAACCCTTGGAAGTCCCTTCCAATCAACCCATTTGTTAGTGAATTTTTCACAAACAACATTAGTAGGTTTATAAATGAGTCCTAAACAAATCCCAGTGTCTCACAGAGAAAAGGTTTTTTGGAGCAAACTCATGTGGGGCAAAAACACAGTGCTGGCTTGGCACTAAGCATTGCAGTACTGAGGTAATTAGGCAGATGGTCTGCTCTTACAGTTAGTGTAGGAAATGGACTCAGGGAATTAATTAATACTGAAGCTATTCTCTTGGTGCAAAGCTAAGAGCAGACAATTGCATTAGTATGGCTTTAGTAAAATAAAATAGTAAAATTTAGTATTTAGTAAAATAGTAAAATTTGTTTCCAGTGCCTCTGCTGATGTATCCTTGATGCAGGGCTGATTACTGAGAGTTGTAAGGCCTGAAGACAGTGACCAGGTTAAGCAGTGCAGTGGTTTGCTGGCCGGGTGCTCAGTGGAGGTCGGAGGGTCTGGAGTGGATGAATGGCATGTTTGCCAAAGCAAGAGTTTTAGGTGCAATAGAGATAAAAGTCCAAATTGTGGAATAGCAGAGCTGGATATTATCTGTGAGATCTGAGGTCACTGTTTACATGTGTCAAGCCACGTAGGTTTTTGTTGTATTGAACTGTACCAAGTAAGAGTGATTTTCTTTGAGTGATTTTTCCCTAGTATGTTTAAAAATGCCACTGTGGACCAAATTTCAGTGATCGTGTCCATTGTGAAAACTTGCAAATATGCTTACCTATCGATTTTCCCACTCTGTCTGACTCACAGAGCCAGGATTGAAGCATTCCCAGCTTTGTTGCCATGCATGTAAGCTTTCCAGCAGGTAACTTTTTCCAATTTGCACTCAGCCTTACTGAGTTTTATATCATTTTTTTAATCTTGGGACCTGCGTTCTTTCTGTTTTTCATGCATTAAAGATTGTCTGTATCAGAAGCTCAGTATACATAAGCTCTAACCAGAACCAGAGAACAAATTAAAAATATATGTCTAGTTTGCAGTTTATTTCCTTGTCTCTGACCATTCTCTTGCAACCTCCTCCAGGTGAATGTTCCCAGACACTTGCCATTCAGGATTGGGAAGATAAAGGAAGCTGCCTGTGGAGGGACTGGCAACATGGTGCTAACAGGTGAGTTCACTTTTACAATCGTCCTCTTTAGTGCAAAGCTGTGGGATAGGTGGATTGTAAGATGATGGAGCAAACATCTTGTTCACTGGGAACAGGGAAGTGCTGTCTGTTATGAGGAAAGCTGGGAGACTGAGAAACATGTGATTTAAGAATTTACTAGGGGATTTATTTTCACTAACTGCAGAGCATTGCTTCCAGTATGTGCTGTTGTGAGCACTTACACAGACGAGAACAGGAGCATGGTCCTTGCTTGCTGTTGTGATCCCTTGTTTGCTGATCACACGGGCCATCTGTGGCCCAAAATGGAGGTGGATATAGGGAGCGAGTAAGGCAACACTTGAGAGAAAGAAGAGCCCTTCAGACTCGATAGAAATCTGACAAATAAATTTTGATAAACTAGGCTGGAAAGTCGAGAGTTCTGAGAACAGTGAAACTCTGCAGCAGGCTTCTTAGTGAATGCTGCTTTGGTTTGCCAGTGGCCAGGGGAGCACAGCTTGAAAGTCATAGAATAAAGGAGTGAGGGAGAGGATTGTGCTACTTTTATGAAGGATCATCTCAAGGAAGATGTTCATCTAGATGATGCAGTGGTTGTGATGACAAGACATTTGATCTTCTAGCATGAAGGGAGCAAAGCTAGCTGACATAGCAACTTACTCTGTGTTATGCTGTCTGTCAACTACCTTTCCCAGCACCCAGCTTAAGGCAGGATGCCAGGCAGAGTGACTAACCTACTGCTGGTTTGGCTGTGCCTTGAAAGGAAAAAGCAGTGATAATAAAACACTCATCAGTAAGCTGAAGTATTTTATCCAGCCCACACTATGTTGGCATTACTTCCCGTTGAAATTTTTGCCTGTGAAGCTTGATCTGCTTGCACAGCTTAAGAAAAAATTAAAGCATTTGGATGGGAATGCATTGTTTGCTAATTTTAAATAATCAAAAAATACTAGACTGCTCTGGGAGAAAGGAAAAGATCCCTTTGGATCTGATTAACTCTTGGTCATGGCATGAATTTCACAAGCACAGACTTTCTTACAGAATGTGTTCTCATTGTAATGCAGAAGAAGGAAATGTTTTTGTCTGGGGATATGGAATTCTTGGGAAAGGACCAAACCTAATAGAGACAGCAGTGCCAGAGATGATCCCACCCAGTCTTTTTGGCTGGTCGGACTTCAATCCGGACATCCGTGTTGCTCACATTCGCTGTGGACTCAGCCATTTTGCAGCACTTACAAGTAAGTTTCTAGTCCTGCTGTCATGGAGAAGTCACATTGCCATGTTACTGGCAGATGAAAGGAAAAAGGAAGAAAAAAAACCAACCTGCCAGTCTTTCTTTAAACTTAAACCACACTGAAATGCAGCAGGAGAGGCAGGAAGCACATTTACAGGTGTCAGCATGGTTTCTAATAGAGGTGCTACTGTGATAAAACTTATTACAATGTGAATATATGACTGTTACATACCTGTCATTTTTAGAACTAACTTATGCTTTGATTAGGAAAGTGTTATTCTTCTAAAGCAAACAAAAAATTTCTCTTAGGCAGGAAACTTGGGAGGATTTTTTCATTTCCTTCTACAGAATAAGTCAGTTGGACTTTAGAAGCA